GGACCTGTTTCGTGGCGGTTGACACTCATCGAATATGAGAATCCGGTAAACGTTACTCTTTTCATTTTGTAAACTCAAAGCCCGGTCTTTCCTTTACTTCAAACATTTCCGCTCTCCTTAGCCCCTCGTGTACTTTGTCCGGAGCAAAGTTTGTTCAGTCTAGTGGCATCTAACCCACCAAGCTAGCTGGCATTGAATCAGCTGTCATTACATTGAGGGCTGCTTAAGAGTGAGTGCGAGAGTGTGAGTGCATGTGCTTAAACCGCTGTCACTTTTATGTTTTGGGTTCTTGGCTCGAGCTTCGAATATCATTATTGTCACCCAAATTTAGTGATAGGCAGCTTCGCTCAATACTACTACAATTAATACCACTACTATTACTACTACTACTACTACTACTACTACTACTACTACTACTACTACTACTACTACTACTANACTTCATGTGTGTACTATGTTGAATGTTTCGGTATTGCTGGCCTTGTGAGATTGCTTCGATCACTTTGCGAATCTCTTCATCCTTGCGCTGTTCCTTCATCAATTCGTGCGGTTCTTGTTCCGCTTCCAGCATACTGACATTGAAGGAATCCGCTTCCTCATGATGAGACAAAATATCCGCCATATAGTTTTCGACACCTGCAACATGATTGATCATCAAGTCTGTACTCCCATCGGGCTAGTTTTCCTCTCGGGTCCTTGGCGGTTTTAATCCACTCAAGCGGCTTGTGGTCTGTTTCTATATGAAACCTTTGACCCAGAAGTTATGGTCACCACTTATCTACGGCCCAAACGATATTCCGTGGTGGAATATTTCTTTTCCGTTGGAGTAAGGACTCTGCTTGCGTATTCTACCACTCCCCTTGCTTATTTGAGTACGGCTCTCACTCCCACGTCACTGGCATTCGTTACCACTGTGAAGTGCTCGCCGATCACCGGCAACTTCAGTGTCAGGTGTTGTTTGATCATGATCCTTTGGAGGTCATCGAAAGCATTCTGGACCACTGGTATCCGTCGGAAGCAATATTCTTTCTTGAGCAAGGCGTACAACGGTTCAGCGATATTCGTAAAGTTTTTGACGAATCGGCTATAGTATGCGGCACAGCCCACAAACTGTCTTAACGTTCTTTTCGATGTTGGGTGCGCAAACTCCTTTAACTTGAGGATCTTCTCAGGAATTGGCCTCACTTCTACGTTTCCAACCTTGTGTCCAAGCAAAGTCACTGTCGGCCTCCCGATTTGGGACTTCGATCCATTAATCCGAAGACCAGATTCTTGGATTCGTTTCAGGACAGTTTCCACGTGGAATGTGTGTTTGGTTGTAGTTTGACTGCAGACAATAATATCGTCACCATACACCAAGACGTTGAGGACACCCTCGAGTAACTTCAGCATGAGGAGGCGGAATGTAAATGGTGCTCCT